CAAGAATGAATGTCATATTAGCGTCAAGACTAATTACGATGTTAAATAACCCCTGTGTACAAGTTTTCAGCGGATTTGGTGATCTAGGCACTTCATAAATGAGCCGGCAGCCAAAACTCAGCGCGTCTAAACGGCATTAGCCGGGTCTCTTGGCACGTCTTTTTTGACACCATTATCTACATTTCCTACCACAGATCATGTCTCCAAGGAAACAAGAAATCACTTCAGAAAACCTGTCAGAGCAGGCTACGGACATCTCACCGTCAGTCAGAATAACCAGTAGACATGGGTACAACAAGTGGCTCCGCCAACTGCAGAAAATATAGACCTCCTTTGAATCCAGCGATTGCCACCCAACAAATGGATCCTTAGATTGAACTTTCAGGTGTGTGGTAGGGGAGTTGCCATAGAGGGAAGTTCAGACAGTCTTCATTAAAATGTCGACTTACCTAGAGATACAGGAAACACGGTAATTTTCTGAACATGAAGTGAGATTCAAGACTGGGGTTAGAGGCAAGTGGCACGATAAATCCCCAAGACGTGTGGAATTAATATGCCCAAAAGAACAAACTCGGCGCCCCTGAGCAGGCGCTGCGTGACGCCTTCTCCACGAGATGTATACCCTTTCAGCGCCCTGTCGAGCTGCATCATACCGACCCGGACGCCCGCACCGCCTCGCCCACAAATGTCCGACCGATGCTGATGCTCGTATCGCTTCATTTGCGAAGTACAATATGAAGCGAAGGGATTGATATGAAGCGGCTGCTGCTGCATGGATATATGAGTACATACATGCAGCCGTATCTACCGTAGAGTTACTGGCACGATGCCAATGAGGAACTCGTCCGAAATTGCTTTCTTAGCCATGTAGAGCTAAGGTTTTTCGCAGGTTTTTTGACTGCTTTACTTCACTTTTTCGTCGTTTCCCGCGGCACTATTTACCCTTTACTGCCCCAACCATCCAGAATTGAGCCGACTTTTTTCTCCGTGGACAGATTTGGCTCAAATGTTGTCTCCTGGGGTAGTTTGACCTCCTGAATACGAATATCACATTCGCTTAGCCCGAAACTTCCTGGCGCCCGCGCCACAGGCGCCGGTGATTTGGGGTATTTTGGCGCCAGCGCCTGTAGCGCGGGCGCCAGGAGGTTTCGGGCTAAGCAAATGTGATATTCGTGTTCAGGAGGTCAGACTACCCCTGGAAACAAGTTTTCAGCAAATTTGGTGATTTAGAGTATTTTGGCGCCGGCGCCTGTGGAGGTTTCGCGCCGAGCGGATGCATATTCGTATTCAGGAGATATTCAGGAGATCAAACTACCCCAGGGAACAAATTTTTAGCCAATTCTGCCAACGCAGAAAAAAGTCGGTCAAAAACTGGCCTGTTTTTGGAAGATTGGGGCAGTAAAGGGTAAATAGTGCCTTTCCCGCTATATAGCACCCCTGCCATCATTTTAGACCGAGCACCAAATTATGGGTATGTGGCAAGAGAATCGTAATCCGCCGCGCCAGTGGGCGTCGCGTGCGACGTCGCGCCCGCTAATGACGACGATTTTAGGTCATATTGGTCGAGAATAGACAATGTATGACCAAAAATAGACATAAGTGTCCACCATGTCCTTGTCTATATGAAATCCGATGCTCCAATCGAAAGGGTAGTGCAAATTAAGAAGACGTCGCGCCCAATGCCGCGCGCGACGAAGCGGCAATTTACGATCTCTTGCCCAGCTCCCCCAAAATAATCCTGCCTTATGCCTTCAAAGAAGCGTCCGCTGCTATCGTTCCTGTAATGACAGTTCAACAGATGCCATCGAACACGCAAACTGAAAATATCGACCCAAGTCCAATTCTGTCGCGATGGCGCCGAACCAGACTTATAGAACTTCGATCGCCGCAACGAGTGCTCTCAATGTTTGTCATCCTTTGCCGCCACATACATCAAGGTCTCATAATGTGAGCATGTCGCTCTGCACGGCGCGCTGAACTCTGACCGACGATAATGATGACAAGGTTACTGCATGACAATCGTCACTTCCACGCGGGGACTAGAAACATTGCGAAATCTTCAAAGGTTCCGTAGCTATGAATAGGTGCACCCAGGTTGTCGAACCCAGACCTCCCCACCCTTGCAGACGTAACAGAGACAAACGCCAACAAAAATGACAAGAGAACTTAGACTGTAGTGTTGCTTAACCTAGGACTGGGATGACGAGGCTGGGTCAATGGGCTAGAAATCGCTCCATCGACTCTTTTCATGAAACAGGAGGACCAGTTTAGAGTAAGAAGGCAGCTTCTCGGTATTCTATAGATTACTAAGGTTAAGATATTTTTTATGAGGATAGAAGAGTAGTGACACATGAGGGGCGTATTAGCCACAGCTAATTCTGATGTCACTTTTGTCCGGCGCGTGGAAGTCAATCGATTCTTTCAGTACCACTAATGACTTCTCTCGGAGCAACACATGGCAATTATTTAACTTTCCAAAAGGGTATTGTTCCCCACTAAGTCTCACCTGTGATTGGGTTTAGCCCGGCAAAGTTGAGCCCGTAAAGTTGCCCAGCAACTTCATTAATCTGCAAACGTAACTTCTGTCAAACTCTGGGGGTTAGAGTTTTGGAGGGATCGAGGTGTAAATCGAAGACAGTCAAATACAAATCGATTTTGTGCTGTCCGTCGCGCAACAGGCAAATGGCCCGCGGGCGTTTTCTTAATTGCATTAGCCGGTTGTCCATCGAAGTTCAGATTTCATGTAACTACGAAATCCGACGACGTTTATGGCTCATTTTTTGCTCAAAATTTTCTATCATCAAACATCTGAAAACACCACTGCGCGACGCGCGCGAGGATAGCACGCCACGCCCACGTACGCGGCTCAGGGAATTGGATTGTCTTGTCCGCATACCTGTACATCTCCGAGTATTCTTTCGGACAACAGTGGCTAATTGTTCAGGACACGTCGTACATTGGGAGAACCAAGTGGCGGAAGAGAGGAATCGGTATCTGGTTTTATCGACTGAACAAGTGCTTTCTGATTGATTTATTCCCGTTTCTTGTTCATTGTAACCCTTCCTAATCGTCGGCGCGTCGCAAAGCTGCTACATACATGTATCTGATGGCTAATCACAAGTGTCCACACCTTCCCCCCCCCCCTCCCCCATTCCCCGAAGGGCGCAACAAGTTTCAGAGTTCGGATACGAATGATCCTGTCGATTGGAAGAAGAAGTCCGTACCGAGTATCAAATTTTGGTGGCGGCGAGAGGGTGGTGGTATTTAAAGCCGAAGGGCGTGGGTTGGAAAAAACGCTTTGTACGAATTTCTTGCTCTGACAGCCGGAGCCTCTTGCCACGGCAATCCAGTTCCAAGAATGACAGCTCTTTGACATGTACTTGTGGGATGTAAAGTGCTGGTATACATGAGAGAGTAAGATGATTTGATCTATGCGAAGTTATCGGGCATTTGCTGCGTCAGAGTCTGATATGTTCCGGCGCCAAAATGTCTTAATTGTTTGGCCATTGTTTTGACAAGAGGATAATTCGCCTTAAAGAAATTCGGGCTACCGCCAGTCTGCCAGTTTTAAGGAGTTTCTTCGTTATTTGGGATGCAAGTGAGCGCAGAGGTCTGCTCCCGCTCGCAAGAGGCTTCGATAGTTTCGGTTCAGCAAAATCGTTCTAACAATTGGAAGGCAGACACTCAACCATTCGAAGACGCTTCAGAACGCCCGGATACTTGCCATTCTTCTCTTATGATTGCCGCCTACATGAAGCCTTGAGCTCAGCGTCCTTCTTCAGGTTTCCTGCTATCCCGCTTCATTTTATTGCGGTGATGTTCCGAGAACGATACATGGAGTGTGGCTTGAACGTGGATTACTGTAATTGATAAAGAAGGTACTATTCGTGGTCGACTATGGCACAGGAAATCCATGAAACAGCGCTCCTATTTGGAAAAAGAATGCTGTATGTTGTAGTGTGTGTATAACTGATTGCGGATGCCCGGGGTGACAAGGAGAGCATGTGAGCCACCTGAAGTGAACCCTAAAGTGAGCTCAAACGAATTCGGAAAACGTCTCGTCTTCCCTCACACTTTCGCGCAATAATAGTCTCATAACTGCAAAATGCTCGCAATCAAAAGAACTGGAAGCAATCCGAATACTAGAAGAGCCATTCCAGCAGAAGCTGTTCTCAGTCGTCAGTTGGTTCATCTTCTGGAGGGATGGCAACCAGCACCGGAATTGCCGGGATCGATGCGAAGATGGATAAAGGCTATAAAATACGAGGCGTAGAGGGGTCCCCACAGCAAAAACAGGCCCTGTTCGACTTAATGGGGTCATTTTGCTGGTTCCCATCTATCACTGCCAATGCCTCTGGAGAAGAACTGTAAATTTCTGTAAAGCTACGCAATAGCAGGAGTTTCGCTTACACTTGACTAAAGTCTAGAGGAGTTTCCAAAGTGAAACGTGTAATTCAACAGGAAGTTGCTAAAGAGCAAAATGCACCCCCCCCCAAGCCGAACAGCTCCAAAAACACAATTACGGAACAAGAATAATGCTTTTCCATTATAAATTGGTGAGAATTCCTTTGAGGGGTTGCTTTTTCCTCGTAAAGTAAGAACCATTTTGATGGAGTTTTTCCTCCATTCAAGCAAAACGAAACAGCAAACGTTGAGAAGAGCCGGGGAAACACTCCAAATTGCCAACGGATTTCAGGTTAATAGATTACATCATCTCCTCCGATGATCTTCTTGTTCTTTCTCACGATGCAGGATAACAGAAGAACTCCATTCGGTATTGGTTTCACTCTTCGCACAGCCCACTTCCTCATTCTCGCCTGCGCTGTTACTTTGCCTCACTGGCTCCCTGACTGTTGACCTCGCGAACATTCTTGGCTCAGCGAGCACAAAGCGCTTGAGGTCATCAGGAGTTCTGAGGTGTAAAGTACCGCTGACTTATCGAGGAGCTGTGTGAAGGTCATGCCTCCCCTCAAACTCGTCATCGTCATCAGTTCGCTAATATGTTAGCTCTGTGAGTTCTCGATACTTCTAGACCTTTTCTATTACTGGTGATTATCAAGATTTTATAGGTATGCTATCACGATAATCTTCCTGAAACTGGTTGTGGCTTTTCCGTCGGCTAAACTGTGCTCACATGAGGTAAGGATTCGCCGTGGGTGAGATGCAACTTAAGAAAAATTCAGCTCTATTCAGTACCCAGACTGTCCAAATGGATGCATACGACTTCTCGATTCGGGCTACTACATGGAACTGGTGAAGTTGCCATTCGAGACGGCTCGAGTTGAATATTTGAAGAGGGAAACAACATTGTGCGCTCCTGATTCTGTGGAAGAATGGGTAAGCGGCAAAGCTAGGCACATTCTTCCCTGCATGGACTCTCGCAATTTTCTGAAATATTTGTTTATTTCCAGGTCGATGTGGTGGAACATACATCGCTCAACTTCAGGACCTGGGTTGGTCAGAAGAGAACTGATGAACGTCCACCGCAGTGGCAAAGAAACACAGGAAGGGACAACAAAAAAATGTTTGTGGCTTCTGTCTCAAGACATTTTTTTACCCGATTAGGATTGCTCGTTGCTTTCAGAAATCGGCTCGTTCCTCCTGCCATACCAGAAGGCAACGGTTGGAATCCGACACCACAGTGTTTGGCCCACCCTACAATCGCTACGCCTACTTTTGGGATTCTCCCGTCTGAGATGGCTAAGGTGTTATGGCCATATTCGAGGTGGCCTTCAAAAGACGTATATACTACTGAACATACCTGTTCAGCAGCTCTTCAACTGATTGCAGGAAATGCATATATTGTAATAATATTGTTGCAATATGTGTTGTAATAGTAATATGATTGTAATAGTAACGTATTAATAAAGGATAAAGTTTTCACCGTTTATCAATCCCTTTGTGGACGCATTTCGACTTCCATTTCAGAATCGTAGTGCCTTATAGAATACGATGTAGCCTCGCCAAAGAGTTTGGAGGGGGGTGCCTAGCTGATCGTACAGCTCAGTGTGACCCCCTCCCGTTCTTATCCTCCCAGATGAATGTACCAAATTACCGTCTCTGGAGGACAGAAGGCTTGGTTTGCCTGCACGGGAGCCGATCTAAGATTCGATGCAGGATCGTATTTGCTATAGAGCATACCGCTTGCCACTACACCGCCTCCGTTCACGCAACAAGATAGAATAGACCTATTAAATAGGCACTCTGCGATTAACGTTTCCTAGCATAAAAATCTTTGAGTAAAGTGCATTATTCGGAAAAATTCGCCGTTGCGGATTTCCCCGGTGATAAAGAAAATGTCTTTTGCGCACGAATTGCCACCCTGGAAAATAACTTCGTTCTAACATATACTCGAAATTTCCTGAGAGTGTGGTTACGGCGTGGCTGCTGTGCCATCAAAACTAAACGTCGAGTCCGATTGCGTGCTTCTGGAGAGATATTTCATTTCTGACACCATATTGTGGTCGGTGTCTCTGTCCAACAGCAGAACAAGATGCCCATTGTCTCAAGCGAAAATAGGCCCCACGTAAGCGATCTTAGCCATGTTTGATCATCACGCGCTACGTCTCGTCTCAGGAGGATAAGAGTGGTAACCTCTACAAGGAGTGTTGAACAAGTATTGTGGAACTGCTGCGTTTTGTACAAGGTCTCATCGGGAATATGCTACTATGGCTCAACGAGGCTGGATGGGAAATGCTGCCTTAAATTAAAGAAGGAGGAGTTTCGTATGTTAGTAAGTTAGTGGTAGAATTCTGCTACAAGGAGCCCGTTGGCTTCAAAACAGGCGTTCGAACCTGTAGTGTAGATGGCAAGTGTGACTGCGGCAGGGTACAGCATGATGTGCGAAAATGGTCGGAGTGAGTACGACCCCTGCTGGCTTAGAATGGGGTCAGCACGACCCCCCCCACCTCCGGCCTTTCACGGCTTCTTTGCCGACGCGGGGCGAGCATCGATGAGTATGATAGTCAGCTGAAAAAATACGAGCCCTCCCCCTTGTTCCACAAGAAAGAAAATTAACTATCAATAATAATTTGTCTTCCAAATGCCAGACCCCCCCGGCTCCGCCAGGAGCAAAAACCCCCCCCCATGTTTGCCACACGATGCGTGTACCTGAATTGATGGGCAGTTAAGATCAATAGACTCAGCAGCGATGCGGCCAGCGCAGCACGATCTCATTACCAAATCACAGGCTAGTTCCACGAACAAGCTTCTAGATTCGATTGCATATTCGAGTATGTGAGACGTGGGTGAAGCACCTTCGTTAATCGAATACGTTTTTTTGAAATACCCCTCAGTCTCTCTTTCAACCCTTATCCGCCACATCACCTTGTGCGCGTTCCAGAAACCTACTGATCGTCGCAAAATGGCCACCCTTTCTCCCTTACTGTGAACCAAGTATGACGCTCCCTGTTGAGAATTCCTCAACGTTAACTCGACCCTCTGGCATTACATGACGAGGGCAAAAAGGATGTGCAACAGAACGGTTCTTCGATGTTCAGAAGTTCCTGAAGAGCTCAAAGGGAGAGAGCCAAGCTTAAAGGCATAAGAGCACGAACATTTGAAACTTGGTTTCAAATGGTAGCAGGGGTGCTACATAAAATTGGAAAATGGCGAAAAAGCAAAGTGGAATGGTAAAAAGCTGCGAAAAAGATTTTGTTCACCAAGAAACCGATTTTGAACGAGTTTCCCGTTCGCATCGCCAATAACCACTACGGTAGATACGGCTGCATGTATGTACCTGCATCGATGTAGCTCCGCAGCCGCTTCCTATCAATCCCTTCGCTTCAGTTGTACTTCGCAAAGCGAAGCGATACGAGCATCAGCTACGGTCGTCCATTTGTGGGCGAGCGGGCGTGTTGGGCATCCAGGTCGGTATGCAGCTTGATAGGGCCTTATAGGGCACCTCCTATGGAAAGGGCGCCACGCAACGTCCGCTCAGGGGCGCCGAATTCTGTCCTGCTAGGATTATTAATCCTACAGGTCTTGGAGATTTACCGTGCCAAATGGCGTTAAAGGCCGGTCTGCTCAAGGAAGAGGGTTACTTCTCGAACACCGTGTGAGTTCTGTAGAGCCAGGGAATGGCATTCGACTATTCATCATGGGCAGTAACAGGCGAAACGGACCATCTGTGCTTTGAAGGGTTTTCTTTTTCCAATATTTTTTTGTTTCTAATGGACCCCAGGCCAGTTCTGGTCGATGGAGCGTTCTGTGGAGAGTTGGTCAAGTCTCTCAGGGGGTCAGGGAGACTGCAGAAAGAAATCGTTGCGTCGCCGTGGTAAGTGAACTAGCGTTTTCCCAAAACTCCATCCATCTTGTTCCTCGCACAGTCCACTTACTCATTCTCGCCTGCGGGGTGACCTTGCTTAATTAGCTCTGCTGACTGCTGACCTCTCGCCAACATTCCAGGCTCTACTCAGCGCTCGAGGTCATCAGGAGTTCTAATGTGAGAGCTACCGCCGCAGACGATTATCTGCCGAAAAGGGATTTGGCGCCTTAGCTATCGTAAGGAGGTCAGCGAGCAGTATAAAAGGCGACCCTCAGCTCAAAGGCATCATCATCAGTAATTCGTCAATATGTTAGCGCTGTGAGTTCTTTATGCTTCCCGAGAAGTTTATTACTAGTTTCTCACTATTGCTTTTTGTAGGTACGCTACTTTTATCTTCGTT